CCATATTCCATTACTCTTTCCTGAAACATAGTCACAATTATATCATAACTGGAATTATAGATGAGAAATGGTATATATTGATCAAAAATAAAGCTAAAAATAAAATGATTCTACTTAGAGAATGTAGGACTCACTGCCTATTATTCGTGATAATATGGGAAGGATGGGGACGTGCACAATAATGGGCAGGACACATCTAGCCCATATTTGAACTAAAGATTCACATCTTATCTCTGTTATCATCCAATAATATCCTTTTGTTATAATACTCTAAAGTGTCAAAAAATTGAAAATATGTGCATCAATATGCTTTAATAGTGCATAGTGATTCGACGTGAGAAAATGGCATGCAAAAACACGCTCACATAATTTTGCAGATGAAAATGAACATGATTTCCTAACACAAACAATTTATGATAGGTTTGTTGTTTAAACAGTTCTTACAAATGTGGAAAAAAATTGGATATTGCTGATTCATGCACTCTTGTTTGTGTATTCATGCAGTGTCCCCAAGCACTGCCTAGTTATCATCTGATAACTGGAGAGAACATATGGTACCAACAATCACTATAATTACATATATTATATCAGTGGTAATACTTTCTATATTATCTTCATCTCAATGAATTGACCATGTAATGACTGCATGTTGTTTGTTTGTTTGTTAATATATTTGTTGTCTTCTGTTTTGTGTTCTTGAACTTGTAAAATTCATAGATTAGAAATAAATATTAAATTTGCATTATATTAAACTGGTCAAAGTTGTTGCATATGTTGTGTAGATTGTACTTATTACAAGATATTACCTTCAATGTCATGGACATTGCCTTCATTGCTATTTCTTGTGCTTTCTTTACTTCCTTTGTGTAATTCTTTCCTTTCATTTTAGGCTTATAGAAACAGAAAATGATCAATGAATTAAATGCAATATGCTAAATTAAAATATTAAATGAAATTACTTATTCAGTGTTCGAAATTAACGTCGGTCCGTCGGCCTCACGCCGACAGTGGGTGTAAAGGGCCTAGAGCTGTGAAAAACCATCAGTCCTTGTGACCGACCATAAATTTATATTTAAAAAAAAAACGTTCCATTATTTAGTATGATTGTAAGACCAAATATATAATAAATATTGATAGTAACTCCAGAATTGTTTCAAAATTGCGTTTTCTTGCACGTTTGATCAACAAATGGCATCACTCATCGACCTGGGCATACGAGTCATAATTCAAGCATGTCGAATGATCGTGAAATGCGCCG